ATAAATACCTTGACCTTTATTTTCCATATCTAATTTTGTTTATTTATACTAACGCAACCTTTCACAAGCTCATCAAAAATTTTGCACCAAATCTGACAAAATAACAGCTAATCATACACATGACTTTGAAAGCGCTCTAAAAGCACAGGGTTGAAACTCCAATTCTGTTATTTGGAAATTTTCTTAGTTGACATATGTACTTTTATAAAAATAACTGACATCAAGAATATATTGCAATAAAAATCTTGAATTTATGCCAAAACAAATCCAATATCGGCCATTGTGCAATGCTCTTTACGTTTACAGGCGATTTGTTTTTCTACGACTGGAGTAAGCTTATTCTTCAGGAACTAAACAATACCAAAAAGGATAGAAAATCAGATCCACATTAACTGCAATCAACATATCTGTGGTCATAAGCAATAATCGCCTAAATTTTGGTTTGATCCGTCAAAATTCCATCTTTTCTATCAATTGGCACAGGCCCTTTGTCTTAAATCTACATTTAGGAAATACGTTCTAAGTGACCTAAAAATCTGTTATACTTAGCGAAAAGTATACAAATTCTTACTGCGTGTTTTTACAATTATCAAAATAAACTTTTATTTTCAATATATGCAAACAATAGTTTGTTTTAGTAAATTACAATATTTTGAGAACTGCATGTCTTAAAAAAAACTGCGTGACTTAAGTCATTTCTTTTTTTGATAGTTCTAATAAGCTGCTTCTTTTTAATTTTTTTGTTTTCCTTTCTTTAAATTTGAGATTTTGCATAAATAAGTTCTTGTAAATTCAATACAAGATTATAAATCTGGCTGGGAATTGCTTCCTCCAACAACTACTTTTAGCCGGCGATGCCACCCCTCCCCACGGTTTTACGTTCTTGAAAAGGTGTCCGTTTCCGATACATGCTGGCGTGCACTGACCAAAACTCAGGAGAAGACTTTGCGTTATGATTATTTCCAGTAATAAAAGTTTTGTCAAACTAATTAGAAATACTGAAAATCAAAATTCTGTACTAAAATGTAATAGGGGTATTCACGATCCGGTGCATACTGTCTAGCATGGTGCATAGATAGCATAAATAGCATGATTGTTGTTGTTTCATGTGTTCAAACAACAAAAAAAAATAAGCCAATCAGGCTATCTATGTATGCACCATGCTAGACAGTATGCACCGGATCGTGAATACCCCTAATGTAAACAATGTTAAATAGGACATGTCCTTACATATCGTCGGTGATACTACAAAACGGTCTGTCTATAAGTACCCTTGACACTTACTAGATGGTCTCTTATGTGCACCGGAATGCGGCTGTAAAGTGAGTGACCAAACTGTCTACCTTTGGCTGATGAACGGTTTCCAGAAGCTATCAGATACAGATAACAGATCAATTAAGCACCAGAGGTAATAAGTGACATAGAACGTTTTGCAGTATCACCGACGATATGTACATACACATGCTGCCATACAAATATAAAAACATGCAAACATTTTGTCCAAGCAGCTGGTATTTCGTAAGCCTTTATAGTAGCAGAACCAGCGAAATCTCTCGAAATCAAATTATCTGGCTGACTTTGCCTTTAATAAACAAGCTACATACATATGTACATACTATGTATGTGCAGGACGCTTTCTAGAGGGAAAGAAATTTCGGCTGTTCTTGCGCGAGAAAATGCATGCATAATACATATGTATGTATGTATTTACATTAGGGTGGCACAAAAAAAATATTTTTCCTGGAAAAACAAAACAACTCCAATTCGTTCCAATACCAAAAAAAGAAGAAATGCATATTTTTATTTTCGAAAATTTTACTATTAACACGTGCCATGAATGCATCTAAAATTTTCTATATAAAATGCAAAGGAAAATTTTAAATTTTCGAAAAATCAAGATCAGTAGCCAGGTTTTTAAAAAGGTTAGCGTTAATTTAGGAACAATCCTAATTTAGAAGATATATAACTTTAAATAATGCGCACCCGGACCCGGTACAGCACCACCCAAATTTCACAGAAGGGGTAACTATGTGGTGATGCTGTACGGGCTCCGGGAGCTCAACAAATTTTAAGTTATACGGGACGAATTTCTTGGGAGAGAGTAATTTTAAATACCAGTAGTTTAATGTTAACTTTATTAAAACCCTGGCTAATGGACTTGATTTTTCGAAAATTGAAGATATTCCTTGCATTGTAAATATTAAAATTTTCGAAAATAAAAATTTCGTACACATTTCCTCTTTGTTATTAGATTAAACTAGGGGTTTCTTGCTTTTTTCCACGATAAAAATTTTACAATGTATTTTTGGGTCACCCGAATGTATGTACATATATACGCACAAATATCGCACAAACGCAACGAAATGTTCTCGGTCAGCCACGGCGTGCCATGAAAATACATATAAAGGCCGGCACTCGCAGCGGCCAGCGTAGTTGTCAAAGCGTCGAATAAGCGTACAAATTACTCTGTTGCAGTGCCAGTCAGATTTATAGGATTTAGACAGAAATTACAGGAATACATTACTGAAGATATTATAAATTTGCATACGGAAACCAATTCTGACTAAATCGCGTAAATCTGACTGGTAGTGGAATAGATTTAGATCTTTTAAACAGAAGCTAAATAAGTTAACGTTCTTTCAACAGATACCGTGTTTTAGATATCCACCGTTTTTAAGTAAAAGTAAATAAATACCATATCCACGTTATAATGGCGAGTCCACCATTGCTCTTGAGTTTGACTGACGATTTAAGCCGCCTGACACCTTTCTACGATCCGGTGGTCTCCACCGACTGGCCTGCTATCGTCACTTCGCCCACTGGCCAATTCAGGAAATTTGAAGGAGATCTGCCTGTTACCTCGGTTGGGAAAGATGGTTTTCAAGCTAGTATGGATGTACAGCAGTTTAAGCCCGACGAACTGAACGTTAAAGTAGTTGACGACCACATCGTGGTGGAGGGTAAACACGAGGAGCGAGCAGATGACCATGGTTATATTGCACGTCATTTCATTCGTCGCTTTGAAGTGCCCAAAGGCTTCGATGCCGCTAAAATGGTTTCCACACTGTCATCGGATGGCGTCCTAACAGTCAGCGTACCAAACCCCGCCATAGAGGACAACTCCAACGAACGGGTCATCCAAATTAAACAGACTTTACCAGCGCTTTTGGACGTAAAGGATCCTAAAGATAATCCAGAGGAGAACCCAAAAAAATAAAACGCCAAGGTATAGAATACCTATGAGTAGCCATCCAAACGGATTCATTTACTCATACAATTGTTTTCATTTAATAGTGATAAATGTTGAATAATTGTGCTGGATGCTATGTACATACATGTGTATCTGTATGCAGTGTTGGAAATAATTTGGCAATCACGGACTACATTGTCGTTCTAAATCGATCTACCCGAAATTCGCTATTAGCGTGCAAACAATGGACGTGGCTTCGGAAAAGACTAATCTCGTACAGTTTGATTAACACCAATCTATCGAAATTACGCGCAAACGTATGGATGTGTATGTAAATCTGGACAGAAAAGTATACCAGTCCGATTTTTATTTCGGCTGACTTCCAAAATGTGCCAATTCAATAGGGCTGTTCAGGATGTTGTGGAAATAAGTCTTGGATTTTCAGTTGGAATTGCATTTGGAAATTTTATGATTGCTGTCATGGCAACCGTGTGCGCGTTGTTGTTGTGAATTTACAAATGCACCGAATATGCAAATGCAAGAGCATACGCACAGCCCTAATGTTTGGTTACTGTTCTACTGCGGTATTTAAACTGTTTGTATATGCAGAGTTGAGAAACATGGTAACGTATACATTCCATATTTGCAATATTTAATATAACAACGATCACCCAAACAAACGAAGCATCAGCTTTGTTTCTGATGCGCTCATTAGTTATCTAGCGATGCGTTTCGATAACTTTTCGGATGGGTTTTGGAAAAGTATAGTACATTGTCAACATTTTGTAGTTCGAAGTTATGGAACCTTATATTTATTTTGTACGGATGCAAAGCAATTGACGTTTTGGAAGTCAGAATTTCTTTCAAATATGGTACATATTAGTGATTATCGGTATTCTCTATATCTGTCAGCTACTTCTGACGCTAATTATTATCATGACCGAGCATTTTGTGTTTAATATTTTGCTACTTTTTTCGAAAGATTTTTGACGAACCAAAAACAGTTTTCAATACTACAACAAGTAATTTTTAAGCAAAAAACAAAACCGACTTCAAGTCTCATATACAACTTTAAGATTATCATTAATTTCTACATGATCCGATGATCAGATTTAAACCAATAATATATTTAAATATAGGGTCACCTGTGAGGTAACACCTTATAGAAATCGATTAACGTGGTCCAAAGTTATGCGGTAACATACATAAAAAAAAAAAACTATTCCGACGAATTGATAACCTTTCTTCTTTTTGTGAAGTCGGTTAAAAAGGAAAAGTACAAATATACCAACCAGCTTTCATTGAGTTTTTGTGGCTGCTAAAGTTCTGGACGACAGAAAATAAATTAGTTTAACAGTATACATACGTTCCAAGTTAACGAAAAAGTCATTTAGAACTCCTATTAAGTCGTAAAGGAAAAACTAAAGAAGCCTTTTTTCGGGAGGACCCAAAAGGATATATAACATGTTTGATTAATATTGTCGATGTCATATTGATGCCATATGGAAAAAAGAAATCGTTGTTGCACAACTACCAAATAAATAAATGTAACGTGTCCGGTGTTTCTCTTATTATTTAAAATTTTTGTATTGACTTGACGATTGTCATTTCATTTAAGCAATAAATAATAAGACATATTTAAGAAACTATTTGCGTGAACAATTGCGACTTGAGCATTATACTACTTAATTTTGATGAATATTCTATTTAAATAAAGCGACACTAACATATGGAAAATATCCCTTAATAAACATGAGTGTTTTTTTGCAGCACAGTTAAATAAATATTATTTGCGATACTATGAATATGAGCATAATACGAAGATTTACCGGCCAAATTTTTACTGTGGTAAGATTTTTGTACTAGTTAGAAATTTTAACGATAATTGCATTATATATTTTAATCCTTCCATAGAAAGTTCCCAATTTTAGCTAAAATAATTTTTTTTAAAGATGACAGAATATGTAGGAATGTGAAGAAAAAATGGATAAGCAAAGTCTTTGAGTTAAACCGTACGTGTACCGTAGCCAGTGTTTCATGTAACTTTACCAGTGTCCAAATTTTATAAAGAGAAATTGTCAAAAACCAAAAATTAAGAACAATTGAGTATGCAAAAACTAGCAATATGTATTCGTTTACCCAGTTCGCGGAAAATTCAAATTTTCTGACGCGAACTATCATTGAACTTCCAAATAGTGTAACGTGTCCAGTGCACATTTGAATGCCCATAACACTGATGTCAAAGAAATTATTATACCCCTTTTTTACAGAAACATAGACTTGACTATGCCTAATCATATAACCTTAAATACCTAGGTGGTTTTCCGTTATTTGGTTTACAATTGATCCATATTTAAAAAGAAATGCGTACGAATGTAACGTATCCAGTCAAATAATCGGCCATATGTATACATGAACCAACTAACAAGATCACCCAGCATGGCAACCGTGTATTTGTAATTGCATTTGAGAAAAAAAATAATGGTTGATGACGTCATTTTTTAATCGGTTCTTTCATTCACACACAGGTTTCATTCCGTTTCATTCACATGGCGGCGAAAAAATGACGTCACTGCAAAAAAATAACTTTTTTCTCGCACGCCGTGCTGGGTGATCTTTATTCGTTCGTTCATGATATGTATAAGTATGTACATTAAGGGTACCCATATTTTTACAAATCAAAATTTCAACGGTCGCCGCCCGGATATTTGTTTCTTTTCATCTAAAAGACTTACATACGTAAAAATTTGGGGTCGATAGGATAACGCTTGATGGAAGCGAAAATTACTTAAAAAGGAAATATTTGTTTTGCTTTAGAAATGAAGTTATTTTATTATTGCAGCAATAGCTCTGATCCAATACTTTTCGTGTAAAATCCTGTAAAAATGTCAAACAGTAAAATTACTATCTGAAGTGAGAGTAAAAAGTGAGTAACAACAAAAAGTACGGGAACAAAAAAACATTTTTCCTGCAAGAACGTCAACCAGTGATCGCTTGACCCTTTTCATGATTTTACCAGAAGAAAAAGTTCGGGTAAAATCTTGCAATTTCGTTCTCTACACAACTCTACAAAAATCGCTCTCAGTTACAGAATTTTGGAGTACGGCATAATTTTTCCTGTAACTTCCTGCAAGATCGGATAAAAACCTTTAAGTTCATGGAGTACTGGATCAGAGCTAATATTAGGTGCATTCTTTTGCAACCGAGCTACAAACCAACACTCGCTTAATACCATGTTCTGACCGACAACGAAAACACTTTGAGAACGAGTTTTGGGATTGTGGGCTGAAGGCTGTTCACACCGGTTGTTAGTGTTTTCGTTGACATTTCTTACATCTTTTGACTACAGTTTTGCTACACAAAAACGATGCCAAAACACTTTCCCTTCATTTTCTTTTCATTTACAACCTTTAACTGCCCTTCTTATTTTACTTTGGCCAGCCAATTAACAATAAATCCGAAATGGCGTATTAAAGATGATAAAATATGACTTCCACTGCGATAAATAACCTAAAAAAAATAGTGAAGACGCCGACTGGAATGAGTGGAACGTGAGTTTTCAAATAGTTTTCAGCGAAAACTGGTTTTCGTTTGACAAATTTTACATGGACGAAAACACAAGTTTTAAGTCAAAAACCAGTTTTAGCAACGAAAACATGTTTTCGATGTCGGTCAGAACATGGTATAAATGACGAAACACACGCAAAGCAATAACACAAAAACTCGGCTATTTATCCGACCGAGTTCAGCCAGGTCGGTTAAAAAGTACGCTACCTGAGCGGTAGTGTAGTTAAATGAAAAAAACAGGCGAATCTGATGAGTATGCTTTGATTTCGATGTAAAAAATAATTATAAACCAGCAAAATACATACATACAAATTACACAACATAGATTCTACTATTTAATTTGATCGCTTTCAATTGGAATCCGACAATTAACAAAGGTAAAAAGTGTGGAGGTAGACAGCGTCCACTCTACATTAGAAAATGTATTCAATCCAAAGATATATTCATCAATGGACTACATAAGCCGTATGCGACAGGCATTTAGGGTAAAAATTTTTCGTTTAATTTACAACTATAAGGCCAGGTAAAAAACCTGGGGAAGCAGCAGTAAGTATCAGAGGATTGCTTTATGTAAATGGTGAAGTCAAATTCAAGTTGCGTCATACCGACTGCTGGACATCATTGCCACAAAAACGAGCTCTGTTATTACAGCAATACGAAGCGGAGCTGATGTACGATGGTCCAAAGAATGAATCAATCTAAACACAACAGCATTCAAACGTTAAAGCAATATATACACAAAGATTTCCATTCGTTTTATGATAATCTACCTCGATAAATACTTAGTTTTACATTCACCCATCGAAACTTTGAAAAAGTGCATTGGATCACGTTAATACGCTGACCGAAAAAACAGTTCGCATCTCTGGCAATTTCATGGTTTGTACAAAATATGTGTTAATTTTTATTACAAAAATCCAATAAAAACGTTTCTGACCATTTTTCATTAAATAACATAAATCGTTTATAAAAACAGCTATGTCCTTTAAAGCGGCGCAAATGTTTATCATGTCATAATTGGTCAAAAAAATTAATTATTTTTTTCATAAATCAATAACATATTTTTAATATAGATTTTTTAATATGACATTTGCAAAATATCGCCTATTGGCACCAGGAATCATTTTTTTTTGCTCTCCTGAAAAGTTATTAAAAAGCACATAACTGAAATACCTCGCCTAATTACTGATTTAAATTGATTTTTGTTCTAAAACCCGTTAAACTAAAGCTGATGTCACATAAAACTTTTGCTTCGCTTTACGTGACAGATTCGCTTTGACAGATAAGATGAATTGTATGAAAATGCACAAAGCATGCCACATAAATCGTTGAAGCGGCAGCGCGAAGCGAAAAGATGGTCAACTCCCATCTTTTTGCGCGCTTTGACAATCAGCCGGTTTAATATTTATTTTGTTTCGTCCAAATTCGGGTTTTCATGCAGAAACATAAAACTTAATTACATTGCTGATAATTTTAAATCAAAATAATTAAAATCCACAGCAACTTTGATGAGTAAAAAAGTGGTACAACATTGTTTTCTTGGCGTTCATTGTGGCATACCTTTTGCGTCTGGCGCTACAAAGTTTTATCTGGCATCAGCTTAATCACATGTTTCTTGTCAGCTCCAACAGGGTTGCTTAAGTAGCAAGGAAATTTCACCCGAGTTTAGCGTTCTGTTGTCGCTCGCTTACAAAAAATGCACCTATTATTGTGTTTTCAGCATTTCATAAAATTTATTAAATACATATGGTGGATTAAATAACACTGTTTATAAGTATGAACTATGTATTTATTTTACTTCTACAAGAATACATAAACAAATTATTTAAATTTTTTAAACTAAATCTGATTTCTGGTACGAAGAGTATCTCTTTCGATGGGCTTCAACAACCTGAAGAAGCAATTGCTTCTCTTCTTCATCGTTTGCCAATATTTTATTAAAATCTGAGATAAATTTTACATCTCGTTTGGCAGTATGATTTATAACCAATTAATTCCGGCAGTGGGTCCAACCTTCATATTCGAAAGTCATTTCCCAAGTCGATCGGTCAGACTG